TGCCCTGTCAATTCTAGCCCCTTTGGCCTCCCCAGCTCCAAACTCATCATTCTTAGCAAAGCAAAACTGCCAGACTCTATCTATATTTCTCCCCCACCCCTGTGCTATGGTCCAGAAATTATTGCCAACACCCTCAAGGAGAATCCAGTGCATATTTCTGGAGCTCTTTCTCGGCACAGTTCCCTCCTGCAAATTCCAGCCTCCTTTTTGTTCTCAAACTCGTTCTCCTCAGCTCAGAGAAACCTGCGTGCTGTGCTTAGGATCCCCACCTCCTACAATATAGTCTAGAAAATGCCTCAAGCCAGAAAGCCATGACAATCGTAAGGCTTATCTCATTTGTGTCCTCTCCCCCAAGGATCACAGTTCTACATTGCCCATTGTCCAAAATCTACAAACAGTTGTTTCACATACTTTGTACGCTCTCCTAGTTGTTTATAACAAGACAGTAAGCCTTGTCCCAATTACTCTATCATTGCCAGAAGCAGAAATCCTCTTTTAAGAACTTCCAACTATAAAATTGTTTATGAAGTCATATATTTAGTCTGCCTCCTCCACTAAAATATAAGCCACATGAGGGTACCAACTATGTCTGTATGATATACTGCTGAATCCCCAGTGCATAGCACCAGGCTGTAACACAGTAAGACCGATGAGGAAAAAATACATTACAGTATTGTAATTCTGTGGCTGGATGTTGGCACGGATCAGGGAAAGAGAACAAAATGAAGCAGGGTGGAGGGAGGGAAACAGACAGCATGACACAAAGAGAACTGCCAGGGCCCATGTGGGCTCCAGGTTTGCATTTGGATCTCATTTCCAGTCTGGGCTATCCCTGTGAGAAACATGCCTTCCACTTGGACTTGACGAGTTTCAAAATGAAAGATTGGAAGTAAATGCTTTAAAATGTGGGTATTGTGCTAAAGCAGTGGACTATATTTTCCAACACTTTCTGTAATGTAGTTAGAAAACTTACAATAATTTTAGAAGTTCCTCACGGATTGTTGCCTATGATTTAATTGCATGACACACTTCGACTGGTGTAAACTTCAGGTTGCTGTGGCGAAGGCACTCACCAGTTGATGAAATCACTTCTTCCTTTGCAGAGTGCCTTCGCCCACCTCACACAGCCAGTGTGACTTCTATCCTCAAGGAATAGGGCACCAGGTATCCCTAATTCGGACTCTCACTCTCCTCCCAACCTGCACAGTCATCCACTTGCATCCATCCAGTAAGCCTTACACATGTCAGCTGATGAACTGTAGAGAAACACAACTATTGAGAGTTATGCCAACTGCAACCAAATAGCCAAGTCACAAAATACTGAACCCATGTCGGTCAAGGACCACCTCTGATCTAAGAAGCTAGCTAAATAAAAAAGACTCCTGTCTGATGTGAGAGCTCAGTCACAGACTTTGGTAATGCACAATATCAAATTTCTTTGCAAGTGGGCGCCTACTGGCACGTGATTACCATTAGTCCACTTAAGACTCCTCTGTTATATTTCTTTCCTGCCACCTTTATTTCCACCCCTATTCCTCCCATAGGCTACCTTTCTATTCTGGTATTTGCACATATTTAAAATTATGCAAATGTGTTGTCATATATACTATGATTTTAATGTTCCTACCCCCCCAAACTCATGCTGAAATTTAATCCCCAATGTGGCTATATTGAGAGGTGAGGCCTTTAAAGGGTGATTGGATCATGAGGGCACTGTCCTTATGGTGGATTAATCTCGTGGATTAACAGATTAATGAATTAATTTAATGGGTTACCATGGGAATGGGATTCATGGCTTTACAGGAAGAGGAAGAGAGACCTGAGTTAGCACCCTAGCACCCTCAGTCCCCTCACCATGTGATAGCCTCCACCACCCTGAGAAGCTCCAGGGTCCCCACCAGCAAGAAGGCCCTCAGCAGATACAGCCCCTCACCTTGTACCTCTCAGCCTCTGAATCTGCAATAAGTAAATACCTTTCCTTTATAGATTACCCCATTTCAGCTCTTCTGTAATAAACAACAGAAAAGGGACTAATATTCCATTTTGTGTTTTCCTTTTTCCAACAATATATTTGTTCAGAACCATTCATATTTCTATGTATACATCTAATCCATTGTGCGATTTGCTACATAATACTTCTTGGTGTGGGTTCATCTAGCCCTCCTCCCAATGATAGGCATCCCGCTTGCTTCCAGCTCCCACAAACAAACAGCACTATAGTGAACAGCCCTTACAATGAACAGGTCCCTTAGGTAGCTGTGTGAGAACTTCTAAGGGATATATATCCTGGATGGAAATTATGGGGTCACAGGATATATGTATAAATAATTTGTCAAAATAGTACCAGGTTACTCTTGACACACTGGCTGCACAGTTCCTCCACTTCAGGATTTCTCAGCCTTGACCCTATTACCATTTGGGGCTGGATAATTCTTGGCTGTGGAGACATACCCTGTGCACTGTAGGACGTTTAGCAGCATCCCCGGCCTCTATCCACTGGATACCAGTGGCACCTCCCTCCCCAGGTGTAACAATAAAAAGTGCCCCCGACACTGCCAAATATCCCCTGGGGTAGGGGGAGTCTCTGCAGGTGAGCACCACTGCTTCGTCCCATTTTTGCCAACACTTGGCATGATCCAGCTCTTTTTTTTTTTTTTCTCTACCAGTTATTTTTAGCACCTTTTCATAGACTGTTGGTGTTTAGGATTTTCTCTGTTAATTTTCTATTGCGATCACTGACCTCTTTTTGTTAATTCACAGGCGTGCCCTCTGTGTTCTTGATACTTGAGCTTTATTAGACTTGACTTAGCAAATATCTTCTCCGTTCTCTCAGCTAATTAATTCTATCCATCTTCACTGACAGAAATCCAAACTCTCATGTAATCAGATTATTTTGCTTTATGGTTTGTGCTTTTTAAGTCTTACTAAGAACTTTCTTGCCCTAAGTCACAAGCTGTTTTCCTCTATTAGCTTTATACTTTTACCTACTACAATCTGGCTTTTAATCCACATAGAGTTCACCTTCTACATAGCGTTGGGTAGGAATCCACATTTACATTTCTCTGTGCAGTCAGAATTCATCCACCCCGTGTAGTGAGAGTCCTTTCTTTTTCCAGTCCAGTTTGTGGTACCACGTTTATTGTAAATTAGGTTCCCAAAGACACATGGCTTTGTCCCTGAGCTCTCCAGCCTGTTTCATTCATCTAGTTGCCTGTCCTTGTACCAATACCCACAAACTGTAATTCTATGACCCTGTGACATGTTTTCATAACACAGCAAGCCACCCCTCGGTCACTTCTTCAGTGAATTATTTCTCTGTTTATAACTCAGAGTAATTTATCAGATTTCTCAAATTATCCTTCTGGAATTTTTATTAAAGTTGTGCTTTCTAAAATTATTTGGGAAAAAATAACTTTTTTGTATTGTTATCCCATCCAGGATTATTCAGATCTCCTAATTTTCCTATTTAACTTTTAGGGTTTTCCATAAAGAAGTCTGTGCACTTACACTGGCTGCCGGACGCTGTTATTTGTGCCTGCCATTACGGGGGTATTTTTTGTTTCTAGTTCAAATTGCTGCTTGTTAGGAGCTGAATTGTCCCACCTCCACCCCAAAATTCCTTTATGTTGAAGCCCTAACCCCCAGTATCTTGGAATGTGACCATTTGGAGGCTAGGCTGTTAGAAAGGGAATCAGGTTACGATGGGGTGGTGAGTGTGGGTGCTATCTAATAGGACTGATGTCCTTATAAGAGATTGGACACACAGGCCGAGACTGCACAGCACAGATTGAGGAATGACCTTGGTGAGGACACAGCAGGAAGCGGGCCTCAGAAACCCACTCTACTGTCATTTTGATCTTGGACTTTCAGCCTCTACAACAGTGAGATAATAAGCTTCTGTGGAAACCACCCAGTCTGTGGCATTTTGCTATGCCTCCCTAGCAAACCAGTGCCCTGGTTTGCTATAGCCAGGGTTGCTCACTTGTTTTCTACCCAAGTTTGCGTGATTCAGAATCACTGATTTTCTCCTAGGGAGCTCCCTCTTGGTACCCATGCTCCCAGAAAGCCAGTAAGTTCATCAGAAGACTGCCTCCAAGCAAAAAAACTCCCAGAAAAGCCCATGAATAATCCCACCCCACAAGAGCTGGCATTCTTGTTCCCTGGATTCAGCATTTTCTCTCCCTGGCTGCAAAGTGCTGAATACACCTAGGTAGGTTTTGCCTCTATATTGGTGACTCCCTCTTGCAAAGAAATACCTTTTTAAAAGATGTGTCAGTAACACATTCTGAGTTACCATCAAAGCTGCCAAACCCAGAAGCTGGGGAGCTATTTTGTTTCCTCTCATAACAGTGCAGATAGAGTCATCCAATAGTGATGACCCACAAACTTCATCACAAATACTATATACCACTAAGTCGGCAGGTGCAATTACTCTCCCAGAAATCTCCGGTCCCAAAAGCAGCAAGGTCCCACTGTGCATAAGTTAGAAGTCTGCCAACCTAAATCAGCATTTTTCACCATGTTTAGTTTTAAAAGCTTATTAACATGGAAAATTGACATCTGCTTCATCTGTAGTTGCTAACTTACCACCTACATTTTAATGAATGGAATAGGACTGACTGGCTGTGTTTTATTTTGTATTTCTATTCCCCATGCTCCCACCAAAAATCAGCTTTAACTAGAGGCCACACGAAAGCTTTGAGGGAGCAGCTTTTCAGAGCCATTCACCCAATACAATAAGCTTGTTTGGAAGACCTTGCTGACGCTTCCATTTCGCCCGAGGGCTGGCAAGCGCCCCCCAGGACAGAGCCCACCCCTCCTGCTAGGAGCCATCACCTCCCACAGACCTGCAGAGAAGACTGCCAGGACTGCAAAGCAGGCTTCTGGAAATGGCTTAAGCTAGGTTTCACTAGCATGAACCCCTTTTTCTCTTTTGTGTTCAACTGCAATCATCTCCACAGGCTTCCTGATTCCAGCAGAGGCGCATCACAGACACAAACAGCATTTTTAAAATGGCTTTATTAAAGGCTATGAGTATAAAATATGACCAAGTTACAAGTCAGCAGTAAGAATTTATTATTTTTGAAAACATTAATTAAAGAAAGGGAGATGCAAAGAAAGGGAGGCTGTTACTGACATCCACACGGGGGTGTGGCTCCGACGGGTGACAGTGCCCCGCCGTTCCCAATGGGGCAGCACCCCCAAACCCAGTGGACAAGGGAGGGGCCCCCAGAGGAAACAGAGGCTGGTTGCTGATTTCTTGGGGAAACTTTTGTAAAAAATGCAGACACTGAATCCTTGAGCTGAATCCCAGATGCAGAGACTGGGGGAGGTGGAGAATCCAAAATCATGCTCAGGTTTCTCCTGAAAAGTGTGTCTTTTCTACAAAATAAATATAAACTCCTGGTTTTAGAAACTCCCTCCTGATGCACGGGAGGAAAAATGTGGCAAATGGAGAGCTAAGAAACCATCTTGGTAGAGGCTTTGCCCGAGGGTTGGAGGAAGATCCGCCGGTGAGGCAGGATGAAAGACCTGCACACAAGCCTGCCGTCCCTTTTTCCAAAAGCAGAGCAAAGCAACACACCTTGAGGACTCCCTCCAGGATTTCCTAATTTTTGATTTTACGCTGAATCTCAGGAGGCTATACCATTAAGAAACATTATAATCAGAGTTAGCACTGCTGGGTGCTGGGCCCCAGACCGTACTAAGAGAGGCAGAGGCTTTGAATAATTCCTACACCCCTCAGCACCAAGAAGAACTTGGAGGGAATATTGGGCCTTATAAGAAAGTGGGAAAGAAATTAGAATTTCTCCCAAGAGAACAGGCAGATAACCTTGACCCACCATCTTGGACACAGGTCTTTGTTCTGTGCTACACCGACACTACAGAATACAAACTCATACATATGCACTGGCTCCCATAGATTCCACAGCAGCCCCGTGCCCTCCAGGCAGAAGGTGCAGGCAGGTGGCGGCTGATGCTGAGGATCCCTGTGTGAACAGCACTGCTAGCCCCAAGGGGACCTGGAGCCTGCTCAGGCTGTGCCAGCTGGGATTTCTAAGCTCCTTTTTCCCTCACCACCATGATGAAAGCTTTTTGGCTTCACGTGTATCAACTATACTTAAATGGTACAGAAAGAACCTATATTTGAAAAGTTAAAGCACGTCACTGAAGGAGAACGAAAACTCCACAACCCAAGGAGCCAAATGAGGTTTAGAGACATAAAGCAATTGGCAAGAACCAAACCAAATGTTGGCTGTGCCACAGCTTTGGCAGAAACTTTCCCGGAGGTGATGAGGGGGTTGGGGTGAGTTGCTATGTGCTTTATTTTAGAGCCAGATAAAATACTCTGGAAATCATTTCAGAAGTTCCCATGAAACAGGCATTTTTTTTAAAAGAGAAGACACACTTTGGTATTGAAACCAAGCGCTCACTGGCAGGGGTCGCAGAGATTAAGGCTTCAGGTGAGAACGCAGTGATGGCAACGTGGAGGTGGTGCCACACCGGGCTTGAGGCTCTGCGTGGATGCCTCCTACATACAGGCTCACGCAGCTCAGGGACCACTGGGCGGGGCAGCCTGTGAGCGCAGCAGCTTCCCTATGGGAGGTGGGCCACCTTGTGCCACCGGGCACCAGCTCCAAGAGATACTGCTGCCGTGACACCTCGCAGGTCTCCAGGGGTGATCACAAACTCCATTTTTCCACTTCTGGTGGTGGTCGGGACTGGGGAAGGTCCGTCATGATGCAGCTGGCTAGCCCTTGGGATAAAGAATGCCCACTGCCCCCACCAGACTCACGCTGGAAGACTCTTAACACAACTAAGCAGAAGAGCCCCGTCCTCCAGCTGCGCCTGCCGTCTGCCCTGACTCCTGGAGGTGCCCAGTCCAGGGAACTACCAACAGGTCACATAAGCAACAAGAACTTCCGAAAGGAAATAGATACAAAACCAAGGAAAGTGGTAGCCCCACTGCTGATAATCTAGATACAAACTAACGCAAAGTTAATACAAAACTCTTTAAACATGCAACTCTTTTTAAACAACGATCTCACCCGTGCTCTGAATACGTATCAGGGCATGCCCGCAGTCTGTTCCCTGGAAATGGCCTGAGGGTGGAGGGTGGCACATGATGGGAGGGGCATGGCTTCCACAGAGAAGCCCTGGACAGCTGCAAGCTGGCTGAGAACTTCGCTGGGGGCCAATCTTTCGGGTCCCGGTCAGCATGCTGACGTCATGGCTGATCACATCACCCTCCATCACCCATCAAAGGGAACGCCATCCCTTAAAAAGGGGAGGGAGGGGGAATAACAAGGAGATGGAAATCACTTTTATGACTTTTGTGACATGTTGAAAAACATCCTTTGAGGAGGGGGAAATTGGATGGAGCTGAGAACAGAAGTTTTATTTACAAGATCTCCTGAATCCTTAACAGACCTTAAAAATTCTAAATGTAAAACTTCTGTTATCGAATCACTGAAAACAGCACATATATCTGGCTCTACCAAAAAAGAAATCTGGCAATATTGACCAGTTTCCAAATGATTAAGAAAAAGAGTGTCAAGAAACCAGGAAAATACATAGGAAAAGGTGGCCCTTTTATCCTTCTCCAGCACACCACTTTGGAAAATATTTTAGAATTCTTCACTGTATTTTTCTAATACATTTTACCAATTGTCCAGAAAATCAAATCCCGTCTTCAAAACGACATTACTTGAGCTGACCTGTAGAAGGGACAAAAACGTGGAAATAAGACATGAGTCTTTTTTTTTTCAGTTGTGCATAATCTAAAAACAGCATCTCATTTAAAGCGACCCAGATGAAAGAGCCTACTTCTGTCTCAGAGGTTCCTTGACCTCAATTTATCTCAGCACTTGGAATCAGAAGATTAAATAAAGTTCAATGCAATCTATACTCTGCCAGCATCCAACACTAACCCCTCTTCAACCCCAGGCATGTCTGTGAGCAGCTAATAGACCTTACAGAGAAAAGAACAATGTCTATTTTTCTATAAATGTTTTCTGTTTCTGCATGAGAGCCATGTTTAAATGTATTCATCCTAAATAAGAGAACATATGATAAAGATATTCCTTCTAATATAAAACAAACATCACACACAAACACAACAAAAAAGAACTTGCAAAGCTGAGAAAGTAAAGTGCAGAGAGAATGTGAAGCTTATTTCTTTCAGATCTTATAAAAGGTTATGAGGTGATTTTCCCAAACTCCAGGCTCAGCCTCCGAGGCTCAAGTAATCCTCTCACCTCAGCCTCCCACGTAGCTGGGACTACAGGCAAGCACCACGCACGCACCATGAGGCCTGGTTTAATTTCATTCTTCTTTCAGGGGAAAGGGCTTGACTGACAGGTCTCCTCTGTGAGCATGGGCTGTCTCAAGCTGCTGCTATTTTCATAAACCTTCTGACCAGGCTTCCACTCAGATGCCCCTTTCCTCCAGGATAACGCCAGCAGACGTTTACCTCGTGGGCTGAGGCTTCCTGAGCAAAGAAACCTTGACTCTCCACCCTCCAAGCAGCCAGCGAGCAGAAAATGCATGCATGGTGACAAGAGCAGGCAATGGGCTAAAGGACTCGCCCTTGAGGCCTGACTCGGGCCCAGTTTGGCTGCATGAGACTGATGAAGAGTGAGGTAAAACACGCAAAACGGAAGGGGCCCAGTCCAGCTTTCTTTGTTCTGGTTTCCTTCCAGTTTCTTAAATGCAGTGGCATTTCACTGCGCTCTCTCAGAAATCTGTTCTCTCAAAGGAATTTCATGTGCTGTCTCCTACTCTCCACTGCCCACACGGAAACACGTTCCTGCTTCTCTTTGGAGTGGAGACTGTCACCTACTTTATGGAAATACTTCCTTCAGAGGAAGTCCCACGTGCAAAGTCTTATAGTGCTGGTTAGGGAGGCGGGGAACTGAGCCTGTCTGTAAGGAGGCAGTCACGGGCAGAAAACAATGGAGAGATGGGCAGGTACTGCAGGAGGCAGGAAAGGAGAGGGCAGAAAGCACTGACTTCAGGAGGGGCAGAGACATGGCGAGGAGGGCAGGCTAGAGCGCTGATGTGGAGCAGCGCTGGATCTTCCCTCCGCAGGAGGACAGCACGTGCAGCCGTCGGCCAAGGGAGGTGTGGAGGCACCGAGAACCCGCTCTCGGAGACGTTCAACGTCATCAGTGATGATCTCAACTCAACAACAAAATAACCAAAAATTAAACCACGGGCCAGGGACCACTGGACATTTCTCCAAGGAAGATACACAGATGGCCAAAAAGCACATAAAATGATTCTCAACATCGCTCATGATCAGGGACAGGCAAGTCAAAACCACAGCGAGACACCACCTCACACCCTTTCACATGGCACCAGCAAAGACACAGAAAATAGCAGGTGTTGCAAGGGAGTGGAGAAACTGGAGCTCATGTGGATGGAAAGTAAAACGGCGCAGCTGCTGGAGCAAACGGTACGCAGCTTCTTCAAAAAAGTAAAACTAGAATCACCATGCGATCCAGCAATTCCACATCTGGGTATGCACCCAGGAGAAGGGAAAGCAGGGGCTGGGAGAGGTATCTGGACACACACGTTTATAGTAGCACTATTCCTAACAGCCCACAATAGCCAAAAGGTGGAAGCAACTCAAGTGTCTGTGGATGGATGGGTGGATACACGAAATGTGGTCTACCCACACAGTGGAATACTACTCAGCCTTAAAAGGCAATTTTACACAGGCTACAACATGAATGAACCTTGAAGATATTACACTAAGTAAAATTAGTCACAAAAGGATACATACTATATGATGCCACTTATAGGACGTACCTAGAGGAGTCAAACTCATAGAAACAAAGTAGAATGGCGTTTGCCAGGGGCTGTGGGGAGGGAGGAATGGAAAGTTAGTGTTGAACGAGTCCAGAGCTTTAGTTCTGCAAGATGAAAGGAGTTGTGGCGATGGATGGTAGTGATGGTGACAGAGCATTGAGAATGTACTCAAATGCCACCAAATTTAACTTTAAAATGGTTAAAATGGTAACTTTTTGTGTATTTTACCATAATAAAAAACTTCTAAAATTCCTATGTGGAACTAGCCCAAATGCCCACCACCACTCAACAAGTGAATAAAGAAACTGTGAGATTATATATACAGTATGTATGTATGTATGTATCATATAATAGAATAGTACTTGGCCATAAAAAGGAATGAATTAATGGCATTTGCAGCAACCTGGATAGGACTTGGAGACTATGATTCTAGGTGAACTAACGCAGGAATGGAAAACCAGACATCGTATCTTCTCACTCATAAGTGGGAGCTAAGCTGCGAGGATGCAAAGGCGTAAGAACGACACAATGGACTTTGGAGACTCAGCAGGGAGGGGTGTGAGATAAAAGACTACGATTCGGATTCAGTGTACACTGCTTAGGTGATGGGTGCACCAAAATCTCACAAATCACCACAAAAGAACTTATGTAACCAAATACTTCTTGTTCCCCAAAAACCTGTGAAAATATTTTTTAAAAAAAGAGTCACCACAGAGCCGAGGAGGCCCGGTGAGGCTAACATGGAGGAAGCTGATCCTGGGCTCACAAGGCAGCCAGGAGCCCAGCGAGGCCAGAAGAGGGTCAAGACCCAGTGTGGCCTCTCAACTGTGCCTGCCCGCCTTGCCAACAGGCCGCTCCCTGGCCCAAACCCAGGCCAATCCTAAAGAACAGACCACTGCCCTACAGGCAGCTCCCAAAAAGGCCCAGCACAGCCTTGCGCTGTCAGCCCTGGGCGCAGCGCCTTCCAGGGGCCTCTCCAGATAGCAGCCCCGGGAAAGCGCAGTGGGCCACGGAACCCTGCCTGGTAAACAAATGAGAGCACCCAGATGGACTCGCAAAACTTGTCTTGTTGCATATTTGTTGGTGGCTCAGCTCGGAGCCTAGACATCCTCTGGGGAAGAGGGAGGGGAAGCAGAAAGGAGGGGAGGGGAAAAAGAGCATGGGCACCTGTGGCCTGCCTGCTTTGTGGGGGACCCTCTCAGTCCCCATCGAAGAAGGGCCCACCCCGCCTGAGGACGTGTTGGTGCAGGCCACCCACCTGTGCAAACTTGGGTTCCGAGAACAGGGTGTCTTCCCCGTCGTCCTGTCTGGCGTCAGGAGACGGAAGCTTCCCCTCGAGCTGGGAGGAGGTGGCCTCGTGCAGCACGCTGCTGAGAGCCTGGACGGGCGGGGTTCTCTCGCGTTCGGTGCTCACGTTGGGAAGGGGACGCTGCTCCTGGCGGAGGGTGCTGGGCTTTTCCACCTTGGCCTCCCTGTCCTTCGGGGCAGGTTCCTGCCGGTAGCAGGGAGCCAAGACCTTCTCCCCCTTCTCCATGGACTTGATCTGGCTAGGGGTCAGCGACTGGAACTCGGCCTCAGGCCCCTCCCCTCTGGACCGCTCGGCGTTGATCTTCCAGAAGGACGCTTCCTCCTCCTTCCTGGTGGGGCCCAGGGCATCCAGGCTGGAGGACCTGCTGCCCTGGGAGGACGACTTGAGGGCCTGGGAGCCCTGAGAAGCTTTGGACAGTGGTCTCGGCTCGCTAATGGCTGTGCCGTTGCTCGGCTCCTGGATGGATAAGGAGGAGATGCTGAATTCCATCTGACTCTACGGTGGGACATGAGAAAGGAGAGAAGAAAGCAAGCGATCCTGAGAATCAACCGTCACAGGCTGCCAGCTCACCACCACCCCCCGGGCACATGGATGCAGGCAGCCACACAAGAGCTGTTGCCCACGTGCAGGAGCTGTCTGTCCTGAGTGGTAGGTATGTTCAGGACTTCCGTTGTGCACCTGAATTCATCAGAAGCTGAAAGGCCAAGGCCGGGTGATGGATTGTGGGTGGTGGTCCCCTCCCACATCTCATGCTGAACAGTAACCTCCAGTGCTGAAGGTGGGGCCCGGTGGGAGGTGTCTGGACCATAGGGGCAGATCCCTCATGGCTCCTCGCTGTCTTCATGAGAGTGAGTTCCCTTCATGAGAGTGAGTTCCCGTGAGATCTAGTCATTTAAAAGGGTATGGCACCTCCCCTGACTCTCTCCTGAGTTACACCCCCTGAGACCTCCCCAGAAGCCAAGCAGAGGCTGATGCCATGTTTCCTGTGCGGCCCACAGAACTATGAGCCAGTTAAACCTCCTCCCTAAATTAAATAAATTACCCACTCTCAGGTATTTCTTTAAAGCAATGCAAGAACAGACTAATACACCCTTTCATGCACTATGCTACATGCAGCTCGAGGCATCTGAGTACCACAGATGAGTAGGGCTCTCTGCTTGGTAAGCAGGGCACCCGCCTGTCTCCTCCAGTGTGGTTCTAGCGCCTTCCTGATGGGCGGCGACCCTCACAGGGAGGATAATGAGGAAGGGTGCAGAGTGCAACAGAAGGCCCCTCCACAGCCAGGGTCAGAACCCAGCCTCAGACCACAAACACCCAGAGGGCAGGCAGGGCCCAGCACCCAGCGCAGCCCATGCCCCACATCTGAGCACCTACAAAAATGCTTTCCTTGATCCAGATGCTGCTAACCACAGTGATCTCTAAAAATGATGCTGCTGAGCTGTTTTGACCAACACAATCATTAAATGGAAACCTAAACCTCCTCTTTGGAGTAGAATGTTGTCTTCCAAGTTCTGCAGAACAAGCAATTTGTAATCTCAATCACTTCTGAAGACGTCTCTCTTCCCTTGCCATTTTACTCCCTCATACTTCCCAGTCTCTCTCTGAAATTAACATGCTAGATGTGGCAGCTCACGCCTATAATCCCAGCACTTTGGGAGGCTGAGTATGGAAAATCCCTTGAGCCCAGTTCAAGACCAGCCTGGGCAACAAGTGAGACCCATTCTCTACTAAAAACTTTTTTAAAAAAATGGTCAGGCATAAGCTGGGCGCGGTGGCTCACGCCTGTAATCCCAGCTCTTTGGGAGGCTGAGATGGGTGGATCACCTGAGGTCAGGAGTTCAAGACCAGCCTGACCAATATGGTGAAACTCCATCTTAATAAATAAATAAATAAATAAATAAATTTTTTAAAAAATGGCCAGGCATAGTGGCACATGCCTGTGGTCCCCAGTGCTACGCAGAAGGCTGAGGTGGGAGGACTGCTTAGGCCTGGGAGATGGAGGCTGCAGTGAGACACAACTGCACCCCTGCACTCCAGCCTGGGCAACAGAGCAAGACCCTGTCTCAAAAAATATGTTAAAAAAATAAATAAATAAATAAAAGTAATAAAACTACATGAGAGAAAGTTTGGGAAATAGAAAAAAGAAAAAGAATCAGTCACAACCCAACCCTTTTCTCCTCCAATAACCACTACTGCTTTTTGTTATTTCTATGTAACCATTTTCATATATGTGTATTATGAGGATGTGGTTCTGTTGGGCATGTGATTCTGGGCACTGCTTTTTCACTTAATCATAAGCATCATCCATGTTGTTTTATGGTCATTAAAACGATTATTTTTAATGGTTGTAAAATATTTCAGTAGCTGTCGCACCACCTACTTAGCCGTCTTCTTATTATCAGACAATTTGCTATTTCTAAGCCTTGTTATAATTAAGGTTGCCATAAACATCTTCACGCATGCAATCTCTTCCCCATTTTGGATTAATTTCTTTAGACAGATTTCTAGAAGTGAAATATCAAAATACAAACAATTTAAACCTTTCCTTTTTATGGTTTTAGATGCCTACTATCAAATCTGCTTTCTAGCGGCTGCCCCAATTTCTAATGCCACCAGATGTACATCAGAGTAGCACTTTTAGTCACTGAGTATCACAATTTAAAACTGCCTATGCTAACTTAAGATACAAAACATGGTTCTTCATGACATCCATACACAGCCTTTCACATATCAATGGTCTGTTCAGTTCTTTAAGTTTCTGCAGACAGCAGCACTCTCCTAGCATCCTTGCCAAAGGGCAGGGGCGTGCTTGTCGGGGCAAGGATGGACATACGGCTTTTCGCACGTGAACTGCAGGTCCTGAGCACAGAGAAATGCACACGTTCTCTGAGTCTGAGACTTCTAAAAGCCCAGCTTCTGACGGCCAGACATCTTCCCTCCAGGCTTGGGAGATGAGATCATGAGGCCATGAAGAACTCAAGTTTAAAACGCAAGCCTAGGCTGCCCTGAAGCTCAGTGTTATAGGAAATAAAACCCACAGGCTGGGTGTGGTGGCTCACGCCTGTAACCCCAGCACTTTGGGAGGCTGAGGCAGGCGGATCATGAGGTCAGGAGTTTGAGACCAGCCTGACTAACATGGTGAAACCCTGTTTCTACTAAAAATACAAAAATTTGCAAGGTATGGTGGCGTGCACCTGTAATTCCAGCTACTCAGGAGACTGAGGCAGGATAATCACTTGAACCCGGGAGGCAGAGGTTGCAGTGAGCTGAGATCACGCCACTGTACTCCAGCCTGGATGACAGAGTGAGACTCGGTCTCCAAACAAAAACAAAAACAAAAACAACAAAAAAAACAGGAAACAGTCAAAAAGCGCTGGCATTGGTTCTGCCAGGAGCTCCGGTTAAAGACAACATAGGTTACTCAGTGTGCCTGATGTATCAAGCATGTTATTTTTAAATTATTATTTTCATTCTACAAATGAGAAAATGGAGACTTGGAGTGATGAATTAAACTGTCCTAGGTCACCAGCCCATTAGGAGATGGTGCAGCTGGTATTTCAACCTGGATCAAGAGACTCCAAGGCCTGAAGCCACGGCTGGGCATCCCTGCATCACAAAACAAGAAGTGGCCCCCAGGTACGACATTCGTGGAAGCAGCGGAGAGCAGTGCACAAAGTAGGATTTCTTTACGTGTGTGATCTAATTTGACTTTACAGGGCTATTGCTAAGTGATGCATTCTGAATACTCGGCATATTTCCAAATTCCGCAACAGAATACAGAAAAACTGTGGGATAGAGATGATGGTTTCTTGAAATAGGCAAATCGCTAAAAATGGCTCGGAAGTGGGGCCCAACTCAGGGGACAGAGCTGACTTTGATCTGGAAATTGTAGTGTAAGGAAGGCACTAAAACTGAGCACTTCGTCGAACTCCAGGCTTTTTCGGGATCAGCAATTTCTCCCATGGGTGTCTTTGCTCAGAAGCCTCTGGAAGGTGAGACGGAACTTCCTGTGTACGTGGAAGGCAGCACTGGCCTGAGCCGGGAACGCTGGGGAGAGACGCCAGTCACAGTGGTTCCTGGGCTGCTTCAGGGGCGCTGTGGGAAGGGAACTGGGTAGCACTTAGCTGGGTGTGACCTCCTCAACCAGAATGACAGAGGTCACTCCAATCCCTGCTTGACAGGAGACTTGGCGACAGCTCCTCAGAGCGGGGTGTCATCTGGCCAGAGGAGAGGGCTGTGCTGGCAGAAGCAGCTACCTCGTTTAGGGGGGTCTGGAGGTGAATAAGGGGAAGACAAGAACGTAAAGAAGAAAGAAGTTCCCATGCATCTGCTTCTTTTTCCCTATGTATGTGTAGGCTGTTCTTAATTTTGAAAATAACGTATAACTACCATCTCCTTTAAAGAATGCCCTGATGATCTCACGAAGGTAGGAAGTAGGACAGATCCTGCAGGCTGGGAAGGGTGTGTAAGAAGGGCGTGCAAGGATGGTTACCGGGTGCAGGTGCACAGTGAGCTGGAAGGAGGGTTTGCTCTAGTGTTCAGTAGCAGAGCAGGTGACTTATAGTTAAGTGTATTGTATAGTTTGAAATAGCTATAAAAGAGGACGTGAAATGTTCCCAACACATAGAAATGACAAATACTTGAAGTGAGGGTCACCGCAAATACCCTAACTGGAACATACAGTCTATGATTCAACAAAATGTCACATGTATCCCGTCAATATCTAAAAATTTTATATATCAAAAAAAACACCACCACCACCCTGCGCTGGTCAATCCCCACACTGGGCACTAGGTCTCTGCCCCACTGCTTTCTCCAAAGAAAAGCGTTTGTTACCTAGAATTTCTAACCACAAACCTTTCAGAGTTAGGGGAAGAATCTTTTTTCCTGTCTAAATCTGACTGCTCAGCTCTAAAAACTCCAAGAACTGTAACAAAAACAGGCTCCATCAGGCCAGGTGGGAGTCCAGGGGTGATCAAGCCCACCCCTCAGGGGCTGCAGCCTGTCCGCCCAGGGACCACATTCTACCCGGGGGCACCAGGACAGAGCGAAAAGTGGCTCCAAGCTCATTTTCAAAGACACGCAGACACGCAGGCCATAGGAAGGCAGGGCCTCTTTTGCCAAAAGAGGCAAAAGCCCATTTTTGTTCCTGGAACAAAAGCCCATTTTCTACAGGTGTGGAGAAACAGCTGGGCTCTTGAGAAAGGAGCTCATGTCAGCCCTCTCCCATGGCACTGAGCAACAGGGAGCCGGGGCTGGCAGGAGGATAAGGCTCGTGAAGGGGAGGAACCCGTGGGCCATGGGATGCCAACTCATGGGTGCCAGCCACAGACAGAAAGCTGGGGTTCAGGGATTCATCTTAGTGGTCTTCTTAGTGTTTGAGACAGGGTAGAAAAGAGAGTCCACAAAGAAGCCATCCCTCCTAACGGCAGCACTGACAGCCCACCCTCAATGTCCCAAATGCCCACGGACGCTCTGCCAGGTGGACTCCCTCC